CTAACATCCTTGTAGCAATAATTTCTTGGCAGACATCACTGATATTACATTTACTAAGGGATTACACATTTCACTGATCACATTTACTTCTATTCCTTCTGTACTATTCAGGTTTACCTTTTTCAATCTACAGTCGACATTCCCATAGTAATGAAACAACCGATCCATTCCCAAAATCACTTCAAACTCGTCAAAGGGTAATTCCATCAGATTAGCATGAAATTCAATTCCCTGAATCTTTATGGGACACCCCTTACAGACCTTATCCACCCGAGCACTATGCCCTAACGGATTAGTTACTATCATTACATTACTCGTAGCTTCTAAGGGAATTCTCAATTCTTTTACTAATTTACTGGTAATATAAGAATAATTAGAACCCGGATCAATCAGCACAATCACTAATTTATCATACAACTAAAAAGTACCTGCTATAATATCAGAATCATCACGGTAATCACTTGTCTTTAAATTGTATACCCGAGCAGTGGATCGAACTTCCGGTTGCACAGAGGATTCAGACTGGTTCCTTCCTCTACCTCTTCCACGTCCTCTTTGTGAGGCAGAACCAACTCTTTCAAATGATGCAGGTTCACCAACTAATAACGGGCAGTCCCATATAAAATGTCCAGCCTCTCCGCATCGAAAACAAGTCCCTAATGCCATACGACATACACCAAAATAGTTCTTCCCACAATGCTGACATTGTCTCGCTTGACCTTGACTGGCTCTCCCAGTACCCGATCCCACTGACTGTATCTGTCTAGGTCTCACTTGACTTGCTCCTCTAGCAGAGGATGCAAATGATTCTAATCTAGCTTGTGATCGAAATCCTGAATCTCTTTCTCTTTTTGGTGGTACTGAGCTGGAAGAAGCACCCGTCCTCTTTGATGTTTGAACCCTTGAGTCCCCAAATCTTTCATTCTGAGCTCTTTCAAGAGCTTTTGCATGATTAATCACCTCTTGAAACGAGGACAAGTTTAATACTATCAATATTTCTTTAAGTCTAGGGCGCAAGCCCTCCACAAACCATTCATAAGCATCTTTTTCAGTAAGCACAAGCTCAGTTGCAAACCTACTCAGCATATTGAACTCACATTCGTACTCATATACAGAGCGACTCATCTGCTTCAAATTATAAACTCCTGCTTCATTTGCTGAATAAACTGATCTCCAATATACTTGTTTTTAAATTCTTCTATAAATAAAGACCAAGTCAACTGGTTGTTTGACATCCTCTTGGTGAGGTTCGTCCACCATATCCCCGCCTGACCCCTCAATAAAGATACAACTCCATCTAACTTCTCCACTTCGGAACAGTGGAGACCATCTAGCATGATTTTCAAATCATTCAACCAAAGATCCACTGACACTGGACCTTCCTCAGCTTGTCCCTTAAATTCGGGAGCTCCTAAACCTCTCAACTCTTTTGCTACATTCATTCTTCAAGTTAGTGGAACAGAAGGTTGAAGACGCATCAGAATAGCGTCTAACGTTCTGAAGAACGTATCCTGATCTTGCACAGGCACTCCTTGAGATGCCTGTTCTTCACATTGTCTGGCCAGGGCAGGTGAATTACTACTTTCAGCAGGCCTATCTTCTCCCGCTTCACTTTGGGAGCTATTATGTCCGGACATCTAATAAAATAAACACATTGTTCTATTAGCAAAACATCATACTCATACTATACCAGATCAGAATTTCTCACTATATGTTGGCATGTATTCCACCTAAAGACTCTATAGACTCTGGTTTATACCTAGAATCGGTTAAACCATAGTTCTGATGCCATTCAATGTAACACCCCAACCCGTACCCGACTCGAATACGAGACAGAGATATTACATTGACTTTTAAAACATAACTCTTAACAAATAATAGCAAAATACTTGAACTTATATTAATAAAATACGATAATATACATATGGTAATATAAGTTTACCAAAATATTCAGAGCATACACAACTTAACCCTTTAATTACATGCCAACTTCTATTTACATAACAAAATGACCTACTGATTAAGTTGCTTCTGATCTGATGGTTGCAGGAGTAATTGTAACATCCTAAATCAGGGTCAGTGACTAAATTGCAAATTTTAAAAACTATGTGCTCGATTTCAAAATAAGTTAAAAGTTCATGGATTTAATTGAGGAAAGTTGATGTTGGATTTAATGGTAAAGTTTGGAAATAACAAGGGTATTATGGTCTTTTCTAAGAGAAGATTTTTTTATTCTCTTTTTAAGGGATATAAAAACGTGGGAAAAGAGATAATTTCTCCAGAGTATTCTCCAATCTTCTTCTTCCTCCTCTCCACCGTGAAGCCTTGTATAAGGTAAGTGGGTCTTCAGTTGGTTAATTCTTTCGTTTTAAAGCTTGTTTTGATTCTTGGGATGCTAAGAAAGATTAAGGAAAGCTTTAGGTGGCTTAAAACTCAAAGATTAACAAGTTATAAGAAATTAAGAAAAATGAGTTTTTAAGTTAATTTTTGAAATAGAAGGAGTTAATAGATTTTGAAGTTTAATTTGACTTGTCAAGGGTTAAATTAAGATATATGAAGTGATAAAATGGGTTTTAGAACATGTTGAAAATTTAGTGTGATTCTTGAATGTCATGTAAATGATAGAATTTTGAGTTTAAAGAAGTGATTATGGAGTAGAAATGAGTTTAAGTATGTATATGAAAGTTAGGAATATTAAAGGGAGTGAAGTATGAAGTGTTGAGCTGAAAATGAAGTGATTTTCGAGCTAAAAATATGATTTATGGGCAAGGGGAATCGGTACCCATTCAAGGGGAACCGATACCCCTTCAAACGAACAAAAATTTCCAGAATGTCATGAGGGAATCGATACCCCCATAGTAGGGAACCGATTCCCCCTAAAGGAAAATTGTGAATATTGGTTTAATAAGTTCGTTTAAGTGGTTAGTATCAAATTACAAGGTATAGGTATCTAATAATTGTCGTAAAATGTATAATTATGTAGATTTAGAGCCTAATCAAGTTCCGGAATCATTGACAATTAAGATCGATCAAGGGGAAAGATAAGAGATTGGAATTGACTAGTGAGGCCAGGTGAGTGCATACAAGTTAGTTTATGATGTTTAACGGAAATAAGACTTGCGACAAGTCTATTTTCTATATTAGAAGGCCTGAATGTATGATCATATGCATATGTTTGATTTGGGTATATGTGATATATATATTATAGTATGTATTAAATGATTTGTGTGAATGCATGCAGTGTGATAAGTTATAGGAATTAATATGAATGATCTATATGATTACATGAGAATGTGAAATAGGTTATATGATAGGTGACCATACATGTTACATAGTAAATGTGATCAATTATAAGAATCAATATAATAGATTTATATGACTACAGGGAGAAGGGTGGTGAGTTAAATAAGATTATACTATAGAGTAATATGAGAATAATATATTAGTGAAGGGAATTGAGTAATAATGATGATGCCAAACTATAAGATAAGTGTTATAGAGAAGAAGTATATTTAAAGAGAATTTTGGTATAGGATTTAAGTAAAATTTAACTAAATAAATAAATTAAACTGGTATAAATGGAAAATGAGATAAGTTAGGTAGCATTTACCTAGGAGATAACATAAGATTATATGAATAAGTAGCATAAATGACATAAGGAAAACTTATGTGTTATATGATTTAAGCATTGAAATGAACAAAAGATATATTCAGGTGAAGTTATTCGGTGATATGAGTATATGACATTATTATACGGTTTAGATGAAATACTAAACATGAATAAATGTGATTGTGTGAGAAATGATAGAAAATATATGTGAACATGTATATGTGAAAGTAAACTATGTGATTATATGTTATATGAATACAAGAACCTGAGATATGTAACATGTGAATTATATGGAAATGATCTACGTGTAAGTGAACTATGTGACTATGTGATTATATGAAAATGTGATAATGAGCTATGTTCAAAAACTATGAGACTACGTGCCCAGGTAATATGAATATGTGAACATGTGAAATGACATAAATGATAATGCCCATGTTATGTGTCATGAGTGCTAGGGGTATAGTTGGCATGCCAAGAGTCGAGGGTCTACGCGGTCCTTCGGGATATATATATATATATATATATATATATATATTCTTTGGAACATGTGTGAAGTCTTGTGAGACACATACTTGATCCCTAGTATATGTATATGATTCTTAAAGAATGATATATGGTCCTTATGGACATTATTATATGGCACTTCGGTGCATTTCTACGCGGCACTACGGTGCAATTCTACGTGGCACTTAGGTGCATTTATACAAGTTTGTGGTAACAACATTAGTGCACAACCTCTATAGACTCACATATCTATAGTTCTCACATGTGTTCATGGGCTAATAAAAATAATAAGATAAATAAACTTGGTATGATTATATGTTTATTTCGTTGTGAACTGATATATGTGCTATGATGTGATAATTAAGGATATTATGGATAAGAGTATAAAATTATAAGGACTAATGTACAAATTGATAATAATAGAAATGATTGTACATAAATATGTATGTTTTGATATAATGATACGTGTGTTTCTCGTGACATGGTACAAGTGCATATATATGTTGATGTATATGTAAATGAGCTATATGATTTGATAGCATAAAACAGCCATGCATGATTAGTGAGTATGAATTTCATTATATGTGTTTTTTTTATGCCTCACTAAGTCATCGACTTAGCGTGTGATTGTTTCACACGTAGGTTACAGAAGCGAGAAGAGAAGAGAAGAAGAGTAAGACAGGTCATCACCTCCCTTACAAAATTTCATATCAAAAAATAGAAGATTTAAATGTTTTTGGTTATTTTGAGTATAGTTGGCATGTACTAATTGGTTGAATTAGTTATGCTCTGATTGATTTTGGGTATTGTGGTCAATTTATGTAACCAACCCGCTTTTACTTTAATGAAAATTTTAAATTTTCTTTGAATTTTGTCAAGAGTCAAAGTTTGAAAAGTCAATGTGACACCTTAGACTCGTATCCGGGTCGGGTACGGGTTGGGGGTGTTACAGTAATGTTGTCCAACTGCTTAACCTGTCTCGTCTACTTTCTCGGATCCCACGTGTGAAACACTCACACGCTAAGTCATCGACTTAGTGAGGCAATGTAATAATAATAACAAGGAAATGTAATGAAAATGTCATAATGATATGAAATGGGATGAAAGCGTATACTTAATCCATGTAGTTTACATCTCCATTATCCTTACCTGTAAGCATATAACTTTAACATTCATGAATTTGTATTAATAAATTTATTGGCCCATGATATCATATTGAGAACCTAAGGTATGTGAGTATTGTGAGGTTGTGCACTATGCTGTCACCACATCTCGTATAAATGCACCGAAGTGCCGCATAGAATTGCACCGTAGTGCCATATAATAATGTCCATAAGGACCACATAGAATTCCTTAAGAATCATATACATATACTAGAGATCAAGTATGTGTCTCCCAAGACTTCATACATGTTCCAAAGAATATATATATATCCCGAAGGATCGCGTAGACCCTCTACCCTTGGCATGCCAACTATACCTATAGTTCCCATCTACATAACATGGGCTTTTACATTTCACGTAGTTTATATCGCGTAGACATGTAAATTCTTACCTTTTCACATAGCTCATATAACTTTTCCTGCACATTCATGTCACATAATGCATTTTATATGAATTCATGTCATGTCTCATAATACAAATATGATCATGTATCAAGATATAAAATCTAGACTTATCACAAGTCTAGAATTGAGTATATTTCTATAATCATACTATACATATGCACGCACCTATATTTCCTTGCTTTTTCCTCGATCAATCTTACTGGGCAATTGTTCGTGAACTTGATTAAGCTCTGTATCTACATAGTAATTCGTTGATACTTATTAGTATACTAATTAATATATTCTAAACTATCATTTCTTAGGCTAAAAGAAAAACTATTTCCATCTTTTAATGAAGGTATGCATCGATGCACTATATAGTGTATCGATGTATTCCCTATCGGTGCATCGATGCACTACCTGTGCATCGGTGCATAAATGACATTCGATGTTTGCATTTTAAGGGGATGCATCGATGCACTCCTTATGCATCGATGCATTAATTGCATTCGATGTTTGTTTATTTGAGAGTGCATCGATGCACATTGAAGATGCATCGATGCACACAACCCAGAAATCCCATTGCAAGCACGAAATTCACTCTTTTCATCTCAACTCTTCATCTTTCACCTCCTTTAATATTTCTAACTCTTATACACCTACTTAAACTGATTAATACCCATTTAATACCTCTTAACCTTACAAATCCAATCATTAATATCGAATTCAAGAATCTTACTCAAATTTCAACCTGTTCTAAATCTAGTTCTAACACTTCATATCATTTACTTCCACTCATGACAAGTCAAATTTAACTTCTAAATCCATTTATACATCCTTATTCAAGATTTCACTTATCCACTTCTTATCTTTAATCCTTCATAACTCACAAATCTTTGAGTTTCTATAATATTTTTCATCTCCATAATCTTTTCTAAAGTTTCATAAATCAAACTCATACTTTAATTTGAAGGATTAACCAAAAGAAATCAAACTTACCTTAGTTTTGGGTGCTTTACGTTGAAGAAGAAAATGAAGAAGAAAGAAGAATCAAGAGTTATCTGGAAACTCTTGTTTCTTTCCCTTGGGTATTATAATACCCAATATCTAATATTTAATTATTACATTTGATGAATGACCCTTTTACCCTTTTAATTTACATTCACTTATTAATTCATCCTACACCAACATCTTTTAATTAATTCCTTCACTTTTCAATTTATTTAATTTGATCACTGAAATTTTAAAATCTTACACTTTAATCACTAACCCGGTATTGAGGATGTTACAAAATAAGTGACATGAATTATTATTATAAATGATAAGGATCATGTTATGCGTTTAAGAGAGCTAGAGGTATAGTTGGTATGCCAAGAGTCGAGGGTCTACACGGTCCTTCGGGACATATATGTATACTTTGGAACATTTATGAAGTCCTTTGAGACATATAATTGGTCCTCGGCATATGTATATGATTCTTAAGGAATTTCTATGTGGTCCTTATGGACATTTCTACGTGCCACTTCAGTGCATTTCTACGCGGCACTTCGATGCAATCTTACGTGGCACTTCGGTGCATTTATACAAGCTGTGGTGACAGCATTAGTGCACAACCTCTATAGACTCACATATCTATAGTTTTCACATATGTACATGGGCTAACAAAGAGATAACAATAAACATACTACATGTGATGTATAGATTTTTATGATATGAATGGTATTACATGATTTATATGATGATGGATGTATTGATTGATCAAATGTATGATATGACATGATGTGTATAAATATGATGGACAAGACCATGTGATTAAAGGAATGAATGAAAATCAATATTGATAACAATAAAGATATGAATAATGATAAGGATATTATATATATTTATATGTGTGCAAATGTTATATGTATTATTATGTGAATCTGTATGATAGTAATAATTGTTCAAGCATTGTGTTGTATCACATGATATGTATATGCATTAATGAATTAGTTATAGTTTATATTAGGTCTTTTTATATGCCTCACTAAGTCCACGACTTAGCGTGTGGGTGTTTCACACGCAGGTTTTGCTGAGCTGATGGGTCGATGAGAAGCAAGACATGTCAGTTCTTCTTATTGAAGGTCAGATAAGAAGAGAAAAAAATAATATGTATTTTAGTATATAAAAATTTTGTTGGCATGTATTTAAAAGAATAAATTGTATAAGCTCTGATCAGTTTTGAAAACGTTTTGAATAGTTATATGTAAATTATTTAGTATGTTTTAAATTAAGTTTGAATTTTTCTCTATTTGAAATAAGAAGATGGTTTGAAAAGTCAATGTGACACCTCAGACTTGTATCCGGGTCGGATACTGGTTGGGGGTGTTACATGGACAAATAGAAAGGGGGCATTTCAGATTTGAATATTATGAGCTGAAACAAGACTTATGAGCAATGTTTCAACATGACTTATGAGCAATGTTTCAGCGTCATACAACAGATGAAGATATGGCTAATTCAAACCGACCTTCGATACCAGCCTGATGTAATCCATTGCTGACAGTTTAACTTATATCTGAACGACTAAAGAACATATGTAATTAAATATGGTTGATTTTTATGCTTTGTGATAGAATTTTAAATCATGATGCAAGTCAATAACTATAAGGCAAGGAAGAATACTCGCAGCAGTTAGCTCTTCTGCTCTTTCTTAGGTCAATGGTTTACTGTGTCCATGATTTCACATTGTTTCTATTGGTCTTCTTCCTTGGTTTTGGTACAGGCAAAACAACTAACTAAAACTTTTGGTACAGACAATTTGACCTAATTTCTTCTAAGGAATAGCCTGATTTGGGTAATCGATCGGTTGAGGACTTGAATGTAGATGGTAACATCGAACAAAGACTCTTGAAGCTAAAAGTTAAAAGCAATTACCAATGTTGTTCTTCAGATAATGATGACGCATGGATAATGATATACAAAGAGCGTGGAAAAGTAGTTAACTTTAGGCCATTATTCATACATTAAGCATTACAGAATTGAATTTTGTGTTGCATGGTTGTGGTTGGATTTTCTGTCATATGGTAGTGGAAGTAACATGGATGCAATGAATGTTCTGAAAATTTTAGTCGAACGTAGCTTGATGGCTGATAGCGATCGAATGAGCTAATAATGAACGAGTGCAGTGTCTAAAAATTTCGATTGTGATAATATTTCTTGATCCATCACTGATTCGAATATTTGAACTTTATGCACACCTCTTTGAGGACATTGCTCGGGAAAATTCCAACTTCATTGTGTTTCCAGGTCAGCTAGTATGGATTGCCACCATTTACACGACCAAATGAAAAGAAAAAGGTTCAGTTGTGCAGCCCTATGAAAGTGACATTAGACAGAACAGTATTTCAAAATATTGGCACTCTGCCGTATGGAATTTCCCTTGTGATTTAAGACACCAGACTACGTCCAAGCATAGGTTAAAAAGATGTCAATTATTTGAGGTTTTGTCTTTTCCTTAACAATTGGGCCGAGTCGGTTGTTTTCCTTTTCCCACTCACATATATGGCATCAAAAGGAAAATATTTAATTTTTATTGGTCGGGTCTGTGACTCCGTTCCGAATCTAATATTTTGGAATACTCTTAAAGATCGAAAGATAAAAGTTTTGGACTATAATTACACATTAGTACTCCGAAAAGATAATATTTTCGATTGTTAGAGATCCCGACCAACTTAAAGAGATGGTGTATGCATGGATGATCAGGAAAAAACATGTCATTTCAAGGTAACTAGCATATCAGTGCTGAGGTTAATGGTTGCGAGAAAACTTCCAGGGAGCACTACTTTTGTTAGCAGAGACAAATCAGAACTGAATAATACTGCCCCATTGTAGCTATACTGAAGGCACGCAACATTATTATTGATGAGGTACACGGTCCCTTGTGCCCCGATGGCTATCAAGATTTCAGTCGTCTTTTCCTAGCTTTACCCATATGTCATTGAATTTGCATGCCCTTTAATACACTCAAAATTTGGTGATTCCTTGATGTTATTATTGTCAACCATCAGAATGGAAATTTAACAAATAACTGGAGTTTAAATTTCTGAGTAGGTTACCTAAAAGATTGTATCAAATGATTAATATCATAAGCGATCAGATATTTTCTTTATCAGTATGAGCATATTACATATATATGCTTGGATCAATGATCTGTAAATTGTTTCGGGAGATCAACGGTTTAGATCTTTTAAGATTATATATTAACTCAAATTCTAACTATAAAGTTCCAACGAGTAGTATTAGAATCATGATTTTATTTATTTATTTATGAGTACCTAACAATTAGAGTGACGTGTATTATATGGGAGGTGTCGTGTATCTATTAGGTAGAGAGCTACAAAATATGAATGGACATAACAAGCACTATGTTATATAGATTTGTACTCTTAATGTTTAATAGTTTACAAATTCCCTAACATGGCTTGACATTAGAGGATAAGACGTGGCATGTTTGAACCCAAAGTTGAATTGAGTAACGAGTAGAGGTAAGAAGAAACTAATTAAGCTTATGGATGAAAAATAAAGCTTAATTATAAAATAAGTGTTTAAACAATATTGTTTTTCAAAAATAGGTGTTCAAACTATTATTTGAATTATCTAGGTATCTAACGTTACAAACGTTACCATTTCAGGTGCATAGAATGTAACGGCCGTTAAAAAATCTTGTTAAGTGACACACATCACGCTCTAATAATTTCTAACCTCTCCTAAACCTTTTATTGTTCCTTTCCTACTAGATATAGTAGATGTAAGCACAAAAAGCAACTTTAAGAATGAACAAAATCAAGGATTTACCCTTCAAGTCAGTCATTCCCCAAGCAATCTCATCATCCCAACTTCTTAGCTCTCTCCCAACATTGCATAATCAAAGAATACCCTTCCAAATCTTCCTTGCAAAATTACACTCGAAAAACATATGGTTCCTAATTTTCAACGTATACTTATAGCACCTACAAAGTTCATCAATAGGCATGCCCATCTTTCCCATCATGTCAGTAGTGGGCATCCTATCCAGAAGCGTCATCTAGACAATAACTGAATGTTTTGGGACATCAAGGAGAACCATAACATCCTATGCCACCCCACCTTTTCCTTGCGAACTCTGATCTTCTCCCAAAATCATCTAACATTCAGCACATCCCAATCCTCACCTGTAAAAAATACAGAAGCCTCATTTCTAAAGTTCATAATCTTCCTCAGCCCCCAGCTAAAATTAGGCCTAATGACCACCTGCCACACATTTGTCCCTTTAAGCACATACTCCCTTATCCAAGCCACCCACAGGGATCCCTGCCCAACAAGGATATTCTTTAGCAGAGTTAGCATGAAGGTTTTATTCCAAGGCTTCAACCTTTTGAGTCCCAATCCTCCTTCATCATTAGGGAGACAAACCATCTCCTAGCTAACTCTATCCCCTTTTGCTGGAGTATCTTTCCCCTTCCATATAAATCTCACACAAAGTTGCTCAATCTTGTCCATCACAACAGCTGGCAACACAAGCTCCCTGTACCAATAGCTTACTACACTAAAGAGCAATGTTCAAATAAGTTGTACTCTACCAGCATAGATCAAAAACATATTAGACCACTGACCTAACTTTGATTTCACACTTTCAACAAGACTGTCACAATCCTTAACAGGTAACTTCTTAGATGTGAGGGGCACTCTTAAGTACCTCACAAGCAGCCTCCCAACCTGAAAACTAGTCACAGTTTGAATGTGCCTTCGATGGTCCTCTGAAATTCCTGCAGCAAATAGCTCAGACTTGGCAGCATTCAATATAAGGCCAGAGAACTCATAGAACTTCCTGATCACACATTGCACCCCCACAATGGAAGCAAGAGAACCCTACAAAAGATTAAGAGATTATCTGCAAAATATAAATGGGTTAGCATAATTTTCTTGCATTTAGGGTGGTAATTAAAGACCCCCTGTCCAATAGCTTTATCCATAAGCCCAATCAAAACACTCATTGTAAGGACAAAGATATAAGGGGAGAAAAGGTCCCCTTGCCTAACTCCCCTCCTACCTTTAAAATACCCAATCAAGCTTCCATTAAGAGAAATTAAGTACCTAGGGCTGGTAATATAGACCTTAATCCACTCCCTAAACCGCCCAGCCAGCCTTAGAGCATCTAAAACCCCTAAAACAAAGTCCCAATTGAGAGAGTCAAAGGCCTTCTAAAGATCTACTTTAATATCACATATTGGAGAAAGAGTACTTCTACCATAGCCCTTCACAATTTCTTGGGAAAGGAGAGTGTTGTCTACGATACTCATTCCCTTTACAAATGCTTACTGGTTAAGAGGAATCAATCCAGGGAAATAACAGGCAAATCTACTAACCAAAATTTTTGTGATGGTTTTATATATCATTGAGTAGTATGAGATAAGCATGTACTCCTTAGCTTTACATGAATTAGGCAACTTAGGCACCAATGTTATTACAGTTGCATTGAAAGTAGACAATAGGCTAGAGGTAGTATAAAAAAATATTTGACTGCAACCACAACATCACCCCCAACAATATCCCAAACTGACTTAAAAACCCTAGAGTAAACCCATCAGGACCAGGTGCCTTTATTAGGTTCTCATTACCCTCATCAGGAAGCCTCACTTTGAGTAAACCCATCAAAGCCTCCACACTACAACCACTGACATTGTCATCCAGATTACCAATTTGCTTAGTAAAGAATTGAGTAAATTTAGTAGCTATAGAATCATAAGTTTCCAATTTTTTCCCACTCTCATCAAGCAACATTCTAACAATGTTCTTCATTTTCACAACCACCTAGGAGTGAAAAAAACCTAGTACACTGATCCCCCTCATGAATCCAGTCAATATTAACTTTTTGTTGATAACACATCTTTTCAGAATGCTCCAGCTCAACTAATTCTAACCGCAACTGACTTTCCACCCCAATATTATCCAGGTTAGGCTCATTCAAGACTAGAATATGTTGTTTCTCCAACTGATCTCTCTTAGCAACAACCTTTTTAAAAATTTCAGAAATATAAACTTAAATAAACTCCCTTAACCTAGGCTTAAGCCTCTTTAACTAGCAGAATAGAACCTATATTGGGTCACCCCTGGCAACCTTACACCAAGAAGCGTTAAATGTCCCCCTAAAATCAGGATACAAAGTCCAAATAGTAAAAAACTTGAAAGGCTTTGGCTTAGAAGCCAAATTCCCTTGATCACACCACATAATAACCAAACAGTGATCAGAGACACCTGGAGCCTTAAATTCAACCACATAATTTTCAAACTGCTCACACCAACAATCATTTACTAACACCCTTTCAAGCTTCCTAAAAAGGTGGCTTTCATCCTGGTTAGTGGTCCATGTGAAGAGTGGTCCAGTAAAAAGGTGATCCACTAAGCCTAAAGTCCCTAAACAACTCTGAAAATCTTCCATATGTGAATTAAGATGTACACCTCTTTCCCCAGAGTTAAAGCTTTCCTCAATACTGACAATAACATTGAAATCCCCTCAATCAGCTAAGGGATACTCCCAATCCTAACAACAACATCTTGTAATCACTCCCAAAGATCTTTCCTTACTCTTCCATCATTGTTGCCATACACAGCAGAAACCACAATATCCTTCCCCCTAAACTCCCTTTAATGGTAACAATTTGACTAGCAACTTGCATAACATAAAATTAAGCCCTTCTTCTAGAAAACCCAAATTCTACCATTCTAAAAATATTTAAATAAAAATTATGGCATCCCCCTAAGTTTTTTCATTTTAAATAAAAATTTTCAAAATTACCAGAGCTCTACACATGTCATTTAATGGTAGAATTTAACGACCGTTATGTCCCGAGTATTTAAAATGGTAAGTTTATAATGTTAAACATCTGAATGATTCAAAAAATAATTCTGGAATACTTATTTTATAATTAAGCCAAAAATGAAATCAGTGTGCGTAATCAAGCTAGCTACGGCTTTTGCTGCCCCATGTCTAGCCCATATGATCATAATTGTACAAATGAATAATACACATGGCCCACATGCGCTAGAAGTTTGGAATAGGGAATTGTCGATTAGACATCGCCCACATGGCAACATTACGATGGATGTTACATGCGTTAGAGTGAGCCATGAAGGGAAAGTACGTGAGTTCGATCCACACCTTCGATCGTGAATTGTTTACATAAAATTTATTTATTAAAATAAATAAATTTTATATTCATTTAATAAATGAACAAATATAAATTGAGTTCTATTTGATTAATTTACGAATAAGTTTTTGAAAAAATTGCTTATCTATTCATTTACATACTAGTTTAATTAGTTTATTTTTTTTACATTTTAAATATTAATGAAGGTATAGACTAAATTAAATATAATGTGAATTTTAAAGTTCAAACTATGAAGTATAAGAAATTTAAAGACTAGTGTTGTTATTTCATTATTTTTTCTATATGTAAACAAATACGTTAGCAAAGAACAATTGAACATGAATATTTCTAAAAATAAATAAATAAACAAACTACGAATTAAATATGAACACTTGTAAAAATAAAAATAAAAAAACGTATAATTGTGATACAAATAAAGAAGAAGCAGAGAGAAACAAAAGAAAAGAGAGAGAGCCTGTGCTTCTGCATTAAAGGCTGGGGTGGGGCAGTAGGTCCACTTCTGCAATTTTTTAATGTAAACGGCTTCTTCTTTTTGAGCTTGGCTCTCTTTTCACACTCTATAATTCCTATTCAATTTCTGCATATGTATCTTTGCAGAATACAGCTCTTACTGTAATGTTTTAATCAAATAAAATTACAGTTGTAGTTATAACAGTTATTATAAGCTAACATTAAGACCCATGTTTAAGTGTTGTGTACTTCATCTTCTTCCCTTGGAAAAAGTAAAACTCTATCCTCTATAAAATTTTAATAAATATTCAACCAACTGAAATCATTCTTATTCAGTCCTCCATGAAAATTTTCAAGAGCAATAAAGTCCTAAACTACCACGTTTTCGAAATGTGAATGTTCTGGAAGCAGAAAGTAGAATAAAAACTCAATGGATATTACATTGACAAAACAAAATGAAAATTATGT